CTGCACCTCATTTACGTCTCGGGGCATCGCCTACTGCAATCAGTACTTCCAATCCTAACATTTCGCTTAGACATTGCGTTGCGTTTAACCTGTGTTACCACCGTTACCACCTGTGACACTGTTCGTGGTGACCTGGCAAGTGGGTCCGGTATACCCATGCATAACGTCCTGCGGAGTGCGGGTGCGGCAAGTCCGGGACCATGCACACTATCGGATTTTGCTGTACCTGGGGCCCTGGGCTCCGGGTGAAAGTGTTCATTTTGAGCAAGGAGGAACGCTTACCCCCCCCCCTCCCCCAAATTGTGTCAGGCCGAGCCGCAACTGCAGATACCGCAATGCTAGGACACCAGCTGATCAGCGAGACGGCATGTACCGTCCGTCAGACCATCGGCGGCGAAACGGGGAGGGCACCGGGGCACCGTGCCCCCTTTGATTTTGGCATTTTAACATTAGCCCTATGGGCGTTGCATGGAAAAATGGGACCAAAAGTCGGCAGTGCCCCCCCCCCCTCCCTTAATTGAAGCCTGAAGGTGTTCCGCCGCCACTGCGTCGGACACTGCGTTCTTCCCGCCGCCCACACGCGGCGCCTGGGAAGGGGAGGGGAGCTGACTACGGTGGTATAACGTAACGAAGTCCCAGAATTGCTCCCTGGTTAAGTGGTTACTCGTTTCTCCACCTGGCTGGCCCGGAGCTTCGCCTCGATCCAGCGGGTTTTCGATTGCGCGGGTCTCCCGACTTCACGTTGTCTCTGGCTGCCCGGCGCTCCTGGATCGCCTTCTGGAGGTCCGGGTGGAGGGCCCACGGCATGGTGTCTTTCCTAGCTCCCCGGGGAACAAAACAACCATGATATTCGTGATCAGGCATCAGCACCCCGAAAAACCTCATGGCAGCCACACTTAACGACGTTCTAACAGGTCCCGATGTTCCCGTTTGGGTCATTGACCTGACCAATGACCTAAGATCTTAAAATTGGGTATCATCGGCTTCCTCCCGTCACGGGCAACACGCTCGTTTTTTTCCGCGAAGCTCTAGCTCGATCAGGGGCCAAAAGGCAATGGGGTGGGGGGTGGGGGGCGTCGTTGGACCCCCTTATACATTCGCGGCTTACAAAACATCAATACGAGCAAATCACGGGTTAAATCACGTCAGAAGTACTCCGCACTTCAGAAACACCAGTCAGCCTTCCTGATTAAATCACGTCAGAACTACTCCGCACTTCAAAAACACCAGTCAGCCTTCCTGATTAAATCACGTCAAAACTACTCCGCACTTCAGAAACACCAGTCAGCCTTCCCGAGTAAATCACGTCAGAACTATACTCCGCACTTCAGAAACACCAGTTAGCCTTCCTGATTAAATCACGTCAAAACTACTCCGCACTTCAGAAACACCAATCAGTCTTCCTGATTAAATCACGTCAGAACTACTCCCGACGTAACATACGCATGGAGGCGTCATGGTGTAAATCGACTCAGATCCGAGTAGATTTTAGCGCGACCGGTCCTTGTGTAAACTCCCGACGTAACATACGCATAGAGTCGTCATGGTGTAAATCAACTCAGATCCGAGTAGATTTTAGCGCGCGACCGGTCCGTGTGTAAATCGACATGCAGAAGTCGATCTACTGAAAAGCGGTTTCCTGTGTATTTCTACTCCAATCTGAGTCGATCTAATCAGGAGACCTGCTTTGTGTAAATCTACTTCGAAGTTGATTTACGCAACAGGCTGCCAGTTATTAAATGACGTTCTAGACTCGAAATACACGCGTCCTTGCCAAATTCAGCGGCGCTGCGCGCACCAAGGTCATCAAAGGTCATTGACCTTGACCTGACTTTAACGTGACCTTGTCATCCACCATTCTGCATTGCACCAGCACCATTACAACATGTTTGAACGTTTAAAACCACAAAAAGACTGGAAACGCGCGGATACTGTGAGCTGGCATGCGCCGAATCGCGATTATGGCCAAACATGGTCTCTAAAATAGGTCACGTGTCAAAAAGTCGGTTGGGTCAGGGGTCATGGAATTTTTAGGTTAGGTGTAAAATTGATGAGCTCGAGGGTACGAAAAGTTTCGTCGCGATCAGCTGCTTGTTTCACGAGAAATTTGCGACAAACCATGAGGGGTCATCCGACCGAAGGTATCTACCGTGTGTATGGTCACCGTGTCGGGACCTCGGTATAAACGGACAGACGCACCCACCTCGAATAGTGTTAGAGACAGCTGAAATCCGCTGCAATCATTTTAACTCGTATATGACTGAAAAGAATCGGCATTTCGCGGATTCACTGAAAAAGAATCGCTAGTCCGCGGATTAACTAGGAAGTTCGCAGATCCCCGCGACTCTTCAGTGACTTCACGGACGCACTGAAAACTCTAGCAAATCCGCGGAGCCACGGCAGTGATTTCGCGGATTCACGAGAGTTTACGTGACTCCGCGGAGTCCCTAGGATCAACCAGTGACTTTGCGAACTCACGGATTTCGCGGACACACTGTAACATATGCACACAGCTCTCGATTTCACTGGCGTCTGTTCTGGTACGGGTCGACAGCCACACACCTGGCCCTGCCTCTGTGGCCGTCCGTCCGTGGCGGTATGTGCGCTCCATGCGGCGTGACGCCGGCTTTCGACGGGGAGAGAAGTGGCGCCGCGCGTCGTCCGGAGTCACTCCTCTGCTCTGCTCCGTCACCCGGCGTCACTCTCCGGCCGCTGGCAAAAGGAGCTATTCAAGGGCAATGTGTTGTATTATCCCGCGCCGGGCCGGTGCTCTGAGATTCCGCGCCGGGCCGGGGGGCGGGGTATCTGAACACTCCCCTTCTAACTCGGCTCCTGGGCCACGTAGCGACACGCGGTAAGCGGCAATCGAAAGAACGTCCAAAATAAGGACGAAAACACCTAGGTCATTTTTTAGATCAGGTCAAAGGTCAGGTCACGAGAGGTCACCAAAGGTAAAATGTTGACTATTTCAACATTTTGGAAACTGCCAACGGCTATCTCGGGAACCGATAGAGCTACAGCGCCGCGGAAAAGCGCATTCGATAGCCCTTTTACAGACCTTTCTGGACAATGTTCTCAGATTTGACCTCAGGTCAACGGTTTAGCCTCCAGAGGGCAAAAACTCCAAAAATAGCCGTTTTTACGAAAAGCGTTTTTTTCGGCAATAACTTTTGACTCAAAAGAGCCATGACAATACTTTTGTCAGCATCGTGTTCCTCTCGTCGAGACGCGTCGAATGAACTATAATTTGACCTTGAAAGGTCAACTTGAAAATTTGAACTCAGGTCAAGGTCATGACCTGACCGGAAAAGGTCATGTTGCATATCAGTCGATCCGCAACGTCGAGCCGAACACATCTAAGGCGTTCTCAGCGCTCTAGCACGCCTCTATCAGTAGTTATTAGCGAAAAACTGTTAGATTCTGTTCGTGACCTGAGATGACCTCGGGGACATAACGAGGGGTCACAGTTGCCATTTTCCGGTTCAGTGTGTCAGTTTTACCTACATCTCGATGTTTGAGAGTGTCTAGAATAGCGTTCGTGCAAAACAGACGCTTTTCAATTTTCTCCCATTGACCTATAATGGAGAGACCGCAAAATTGACCTGACCTTAGGTCACCGATATCAAAATTCCGAGATGAACATTTTATTGATAATGTTGCTCTTATCAATCGCTGAAAGTTTCAAGGCAATCGATCAATCAGTGTAGCTATGACGAGCATTCTTATTTTTTCCGAGGTGAGGTCACTTGGCGTAACCTGGTGACCTGACCTAAGGCGACCTGGGTCTGAAATTTTCACAACATGTGCGGAAAAGATGCACGAAGAGGTGTGCCAAAAACAGCGGCGCGGAGCGCCGCCGTTTTTGAGATATCTGCGAAAAACCGCAGGGGGGGGGGGTGTTCAAACAGACAAACATCCCCGGCCCGGCGCGGGTTATTGCAAATATTTTAAAGGGACCCTCCCACCTTCAAAAAAGTTAATGAATTGGCATGAAAATGATGTCGCTCGGTTCAGAAAGAGCAAAAATGAATATCTACCAAATTTCATCGAAAAATATTCACCGGTTTTCAAGATATTAGACTTTTACTTTTGTTTACTTTTTGGGATCTCCGCTGTTCCTAGCGACTTTATTTGAAAGTGCGGCATTTGTTGCGCGCAAAGCAGCATATACCACCGCGTGCTGCCAAACGTTTTAGTAAAAGATTTAAAAATCGTTAGATCTCCGCTGACGTCACAAATTCTAAGGGGGCATACCAATGCATTAGCCCCTTAGAATCCGAAAACTGCAAGTTTGAAATTCCATATCTCCGAATTAAAGCATTTTTCGATGTTGTGAATGCCCAAACCGGTATTTTCAGGCCATGGCCACCAATTTGGCTATCTCAACTCAAAACTAATGTTAAGGTGGGAGGGTCCCTTTAAAGCCGTTATATGTGATTAGGCGAAAAACCGCAGGGGAGGGGGTGTTCAAACAGACAAACACCCCCCGGCCCGGCGCGGGTTATTGCAAATATTTTAAAGCCGTTATATGTGATTAGATTAGGCGCACTGATCGGTGCCGTACAAAACGTCATGGAGGTACCGTGAAATGTGCGAATAGCCCCGGACAATCTCACTGTTGCAGTGATATGGGAAAAGGTACTATAAGATTAATGGCTAATTCGACATTTTTAGGTTTCGAGGGAGAAAGACAGGGGAGTTTAGACCCTCAGCTTGCCCCGTAGAGCGTGGGTAACGTGCCCCAATGCATACCAAATACCTACACTTACCTAATAGTGCTTTTGGTGACATTTGATCTCAATACCGTACACATCCTTCATGCGGATTTTATAGCTGTGAATAGTGAACACTGTATAGCACTGTAAAGAAAAATAAGTGGGAAGACTTACTAAACCTGTCCTATGTCATGACACATGATACTGACCCATTTCGTTTTGCACCGTCCGGCTGTTGCGCCATGCAGTTGACTGGTGGCCGATGCTGTTTCATCTGTTCGGCAGGGGCGTGCCCGAGTCGGTGTCTGGTCTGGTCTGGATCGGTTTCCTGATGTCAGTCGCGGTCGTCACAGCGCAGGTCAACGTCCAGTTTGACGGGGAGGTAAGACTAGAAAACTACTACTACATACTAAAACTACTCGAAAACTGGGGATTACTCGGCTCCACTCTATTGCATTGTAGCGGACACGCTGTGCACGCCTTATCAGCTAGTGTATGCGTATATTAGATATTTTAACCTTCCAGGCGGTGGTGGGGGGGGGGCATTTTTTGCCCCCCCCTTTAGTTTTTTCAATATATCTCGAGAACCGCTGCGCCGATCGTCACCAAACTTTCAGTACCCTCCCGTGAGCAGCTAGCGCACATGGTGACCAAAATTTTTTCTAAAGGCTATGATAGGTTGGCCGCTAATGACGTCAGAGTGACGTCATTTTTGCCATTTTCGACCCAAAAAAAGGTTTCGCGGGAAGAGCTGTCAGGCCTACAGCTTTAGAGATACAGAAAAATGTTACAGACATAAAAGGTGTAGAATCAAAAGGGCTACAAAACTGCTATTTCGTTTTTTCGAATTTTTGGTGTTATAGCGCCAAAAAATGTTATAGCGCCTCGGTGTTATAGCGCTTTCCCTAGAAGCCCCGTGAACGGTGAAACATTTTATCTTTGACCTGACCTGTGACGTCATCGGTGACCCCGAGGTCAATGAAATTTGGTTTCCTTCAACAAATTTGACAGGGCTATCGAACGCCGTTTGAATTTTTCGGATCCGTCCAGTAGTTTCGGAGATACGGGGGGGGGGGGCAAAAAATGCCCCCCCCTCCACCGCGCGGAAGGTGGCTGGTAGGCCCACCGCCTGCCGGGTTAATCATCACGTGATCGTGGCTGGATGATCATTTTGTTTGGTGTACCTATGTAGGCAAATATGGTTAGCTGTCATCTAATCTTGCTTCATCAAGCGGCTCCATGCTGTCCGCCATTGGTGCAGTTGTCAATAATCTGGCACTGCCCATCTCAATTATCCGCACATGGCTCAGAGCTGTTTGAACTCTGAGCCTTCCCTCGTAAAAGTGTCTGTTCGCTCCCGCTTCCCGTCTCCATAAATCTCCTATACCCTCCCGCCTCACTAATACAGCTGTCACTAACCCCCGTCTCCCGGTCGACAGATGCTGGCTCAGGAGTCCTCGCGGAGCACGCGGCAGAGCTGGCCGCCCTGGAGGAGGAGGTCGCCGGCAGACAGGTATTTACACCCACCTCTGCAACACTCTGCCGCCCCGATACCACAGTAGATGAGCCAGTGCCGCGGACGGCCGCAGGCACGGCTCCCGTATACCGGCCGGCCGGCGCGGCACCGGTTCCCATCCGCCGGATTTACATTGGCCCAGTTTCGTTTGCATACGACTGACTTTCAGTGTCGGCGGCTGCTGTGCTCCCTATCACGCACGCTGCGACAGGTGCTTTGCATAGATTGGAGGGTGACGGCGTGCGAGGCAGCGGAAGCTTTGGGCTTATAATGGGCCGGGGCAGCGGGCTGTCTGGGGAGGGGGGGGCGACAACGCTCTCCCAAATGACATCCAAACACAAATGAGCGTCAGTTTTGTCTATCATCATGTGTAAAGAACAGTCTGTAGCAGCATGATTACTACAAACAACTCTGTTTGTTTCATTTGTCAAGTGGAGCTTTCTTCTCCTCATAAAAACGTAGGGGTAGGCGACTAGGCATTTACGGCGATACTAATGATGACTGATAATGCCAAATCCGGACACCTTTCACCACCAATGATTAACGTTGGTCAAATTATCCAAAAACATAGGAGCTAATGTGTCTTTGGCATCACGTCGCCCCTAGTGACCAGTCTGCCGCACATAGTGTCCGTTCGGTGTTCCGTCTTTAGTGACCAGTCTTCTGTCACTTAATCTGTCGCCCTCAGTGATCAGTCTGTCGACCTTATTGACCAGACTGCGGCCCTTGACCAGTCTGCCGTCAGTGATCAGTGTGCCACCCTTAGTGACCAGTCTGTCGCTATAAGTAACAACTGCCGTCCAACAAGTGACCAGTCTGCCGCCCTTGGTGACCAGTCTGTCACCCTTAGTTGTCAGTCTGTCGCTCTTATGTAGTACTAGTGACCGGTGTGCCGCCCTTAATGACCGGTCTGCCGCCCTTCGTGACCATTGTGCCGCCCATAGTGACCAGTGTGTCGCCCCTAGTGACCATTGTGCCGCCAATAGTGACTATTCTGCCGCTCTCAGTGACACTGTTCCTGTGTGTCCGCAGACCGGAGAGCAGCAGTTCTCGGCCCCTGTATCTGGCCGACCCCCGGCCGAGCGGGCAGCGTCGCCGGATACCGCCGCCACCCGTGCTCTCACACCTAACGGCACCGCACGCCGGCCGCCTGCCCAGCCTGCGCTTCTCGCCGTCCCGCGAGCGCCAGCAGTACCAGTGGTACCCTCGGCCGCCACCAGGGGCGCTGCCGTCGTCCAGCGCACCAGCAGAAGCGCCCGATGTCCAGAACTGGAGGGGACCCGACCGATCAGCGTCAGAGAGGTCGCAGCCCGGAGGTATTCGTCGCGCCGACGGACCGGCAGGGCTCCAGCACCAGCAGGCGTTCCCTCCAGAGAGACCGGCGGCCGGCTCACAGCTAGGTACAGACTTACGGATGCGGCCGGCTCCGAGCCCAACCAGACGACAGGAGCCGCAGAGCGGGTCGGCGGTCGGTGCGTCAGACAACCGCTCAGGACCCCGGCCAACACCGTGGTTTGATGACCAACCGGCCACCGAGCGACCGAGGCAGGCCTCTGCCGCTCCGCCCACCGAGCCAGCGCGGCGGCCCTGGCGGCCAAGGACGGACGAACACCGGCCGGGGCAGCGTGACACACCCAGTCACACGGCGACAAACCCTGGCGAGCGGCGTAGCGATCAGCCGGACGGGTGGGGCCTGCGGCCGTCCGCCCACTACGCTCAGCTGGCACTGGGTGCAGCAGCTGCCAGCCAGGCGGCAGCCGCGCTGGGGGCGACGGAACGAGAGGATGCAGCGGGACCCGAAACCCCCACCGAATACGGCCAAAAGACCACTCAGTATGACGACGGCGAGCGGTACGACGCCGGGCCAGGCGCATCGGAGGGTATGCGTACCACGCCGGAGACTGCAGAAACCGCCAGTCCGCCGGCGGTGAACGTCGTCGAGCGCACCCGTCTGCCCGCCAGGGAAACTTGGGGATCAGCAGGTGTTCCAGCGACCTACGAGCCCCACTCGCCTGTCCATGTAGCTGCTGAGCTGGCGGCGCTCTCAGCTCTGCTGACTGAGTCAGGGAACGGCCTGGGCGCACAAGAGGACGACCTGAAAACACTTCCTGTCGTCCACAGGCGGCACAGATACGAATCCCAGGTGAGCCGCGCACCGCTGAGTTCCAAGGATGTCATAAGGGTTCCGCTGGGTCGACCCTTCGGAGGTCGCGAGGACGAGTCGGCTACGGACTCTGCAAGCACAGAATCTACGGGTCCAGAGATGATTGGCACAGTCTCTGACAGTGACTCCACTACAGACTCTGTCGGTGTCACGGAAGCTAACACAGCGCAACAAGCCGTAGAAGGTGACGTCGGTCAGGTAAACGCAGAGAAAGAAGAGCTGTCTGATGAAAGACTCGCAGAGCTTAACAAGATCGTATGGCCTACCATCGAGAGCGCAGACGAAGACTCTCTCCAATACGATGATGCATATTACGACTACTACGACTATGAGACTGATGATCTAAGCAATGTGGACGTACCCCTCGCCTTCCCGGCGACTTCTAAATCACCATTAGCTTCAGAGGCTCATGGTGAAGAAGACATCATTGATAATCTTAGCGAGACTACGTCTGGTATCGTGATCAACAACGCAGAGTTCATGGAGCTCCGGCCAGCAGCGGTAACCAGAAGGCCGGTGAAGATGGCCACTGCCGCAACGACGGAGCCGGAGGACACAGTCTCTGCTGGGGTCACAGAACAAGAAACCATCACCCCTTCTAGCAGTACAGAGCGGGAGGATGTCGTCTCTACTGCCATCACGGAGCATGAGGAAGCTGCATACCCTGAGAGGATGGAGTCTGATGATTATAGCACTACTAAAGCGACAGAGTTGGAGGACGCGCTCTCACGCAGAGGGCTGCAAAAACCGGGCCGCAGGAGAGGTGCAGAGTCCAGGCGAATCGACCAGCCCCACGACACTCAATCAAGAAAAACGACATCCGGCCAGAAGATGGCTGGATCGGAAAGACAAGCCAATGTCTTTGAGGAGAGTATACCTGGCTCCAAAAGAAAGGTGGAGGAGATGTACTTCGAAACAAGTCACGACAAAGATGATGAGTATATTGGCGTCACTAGCTCGCACAGTACTGACGTCGTTGAGGCTGTGCCTGCGGTGACGGAAGCTAGCACAGAAGCCTCTTCTTCACACGAGAAGAATGGTTACTGGAACGACAAGCCGTCACCGTACGGTGGGTTGATAGACGATGTTGTTGGGGAAGTTCTCCAAGAAATATTCCATGAAGCAGAGGTCACTTCAACGCCAGCTACTTCGACAGCAAAAGTAACCAATGACATTGATTACGCTGCATATGATGATTTTGAGCTCTACGACGATGACACAGAGCTACCATTGACAACTGAGGCGTCGATCAATGGTTTTACGTCTGTAGAAAACGGACTACCGTATTCAAAAACAAATATTGACGCTGCTGCTAACAACGACGAGTCAGCATTTGATATGCCGAGTGCTGCGACCACTATCGATCCGAGCACTGCTACAACTGTGCTATATTCGCCAGGAAACCCTGCTGACGAAACAATATCAACCACAAAACGAGGAGAGCTAGGCATTGTTCGGTCAACCTCTGAAAGCAGTCTAGGCGATGGTGATTTATCACACGTCGACCAAACAAGGCAACCGGTATTGATGGACACGAAATCAGGTATCGCGCCTCTGAGCACAAGTGAATCGTCAACTGAAGCAGCTACCGTGACGTACAGTGAGGATCAAGACACGGAAGAGGAGGCGCCACGGGGCATCAGCCAATCGACTGCATCAGTGACGAGCCATCCTTACAGAATAGGAGCACCAGAGCTCACCAGCAGCTCTGCGCCGACTCCTTCAAGTCTGTACCTCTTCTCGAATTTCCCAGAGTTCGCGGGCAGTGAGCAGGACGGGGCAGATACTGTGACAAGCTCTCCTGACTATCACTTCCAAATGGACGCAGCGACTGATTCTTCTGATGGCGAGCTCGATCTAACAAATCATGGGCACGCAGACACTTCCAATGAACAGATTGACATGACAGAAGCAGTTGCGTATTCTGACGATCAGCTTGGAATGACAGACGACATCGATGCCCCTCATCACAAGGGCGGTATGGTTAGAGAGTTGATGCCAGACAGTTATCAACAGACTTCGGTGACATCAACCGCAGCCCCTAACGATCAACAGGACGTGGATGATATGAACCAGGCCAACGTTGATCAGCAGTTCTCAACTATTGCAACAGAAACCGCGTACAATGACCTGGTGGGAATGACAAAATATGATGATACTCAGACAACGCTTCCCAACATTGTCTCAACTACAGAGCCAGAAGTACAGGTCCCTACAGTACGGTCAACTGAGGATTCAATATCGGAGCTGGTCGACGGATTGTCCACCGCTATGAGCCAGGATCTAGCAACACCTGTTGAGCATGCGACAACGTCAGCGCCAACCATCCTAACAACAAAACAAAATGCTGCTCCATACACATACCGTGACAACATTGTTACGGAAGGAGCAAGCTCAGTTTCAACTCATTCCTCTGAGGAACACAGCAATGACCAGCTTGATGAGTCTTCTACAATGCCCACGGACTTCGACCGGGAACCAAAGAAAAGCACTAGAAAACCCATCCCACGTCTGCAGTCACGACCAACCTTCTCAAAGTTCTACCGCTTCGGGAATGGGGCTCCAGTCACCAGTACTCAGTCCGCTGTGACAAAGCCTTCGTCTCCACCGACCGACGAGACTAGAACCAGCCAGGAAAGTTCACCCTTCACTTCCACACAGCGCATCACTAGGCCAGTTTCCTCTTCCACGCAGGCGACCACTAGTTCCTCTTTCGAGGTGGTACCCAACCCAAGCACCGACGCAGGCGCAGCAGCCACCGCGTCCCCATCACTGGACGAGGTGCGGTCAGCAATCCAGCCGTTCAGTCTGGCAGAAATGCTCGTAGAGTCCGGTCAGAGCCTGGCCGCCTTTCTGAGAAGCGACTACACAATGGCAGACGTGATGGCGATTATAGATCGACTGCGTGCCAGACGAGAGGGCCGTCCTATCCCGGTGACGGATGAGACGCTTGCGCCGACCCCGACGACCGCACGGACAGACCAAGTAGACCCCCAGGTTCGGCGCCCTTCTGGAGCTCAGTCTAGTGCACAGCTCCCGTACGAATACCAGCCAGACGAGAAACATCACAAGGAAGCCGGAGTCTCGTCGGGTGGTGAGAAACAGCTGCCTTCTGACCGAAGTCCACTGGAAAACGCTGTCAACCCTGGGACAGAGTCGGCCCCTCGGCGGCCGAAGCAGTGGAGTCTGGCGGAGATTCTCGAACAGAAGCAGGTCTCGCTGCCCGAGTTTCTGGCAAGGGGCGGTGACGTCAAGCAGTTGCTTCTGGAATATAATTCTGCAACGCCCTCTCCTGACACTGAAGACGATGCCATCGAAGAACTGTCTACAATCAAACCACAAGCCGATGTCAGTGGCAAAATTTATAGCCTTAAGGAGATCCTTGGCATAAGAAAGCAGACGCTCAAACAGTTTATCTCTGGCGGGGGTAACGTGACCGCCATTCTCGAAGAATACAATGGCGTAGGCTGGCGTGCGTCGCTACGCACCACCACAGCAGTTCCTGCCACCTCTTCATATACACCGACCACATCCACATCGTTTCCTGGCGCCCAAGGAGACCCGGATGAGCCGATGACACTGTCTGTGCCACTGGGAGAGGATGACGATGACCAACAGCGCGACACTCAGCCGGGCATCCGACTTCTCTCGCCGGCACCGGCCATCTACGGCCGCCCGGTCACCCTACTGCCACCGGCGCCAATCGGCGACCCTCCGCGTCGGCTGGACACACCACCACTATCCGACCACAAACCTCAGCCAGCACTGCCCACCGTGCTGCCGCACGACGAGCTCTTCGAGCGGATCAACCAGGAGACAGAGGCCATGTGGGCGGCGGCCGGCGGTGGTGGCGGAGAGGGCCAGCACCAGGTGGACTCGACTGTCTTCGACATCGAGCTGTCTCCGCCGAGCGGCGGCATCAGTCCGGCCGTGCGGCACGCCGTGATCGCCAGCGGCGCGGTCGGCGGCTGCGCCCTCCTCATCTTCGTAGGGCTGATGGCGTTCTGCAGGTGGCGTCAACGTCGTGACGAGCGCGCACTCGGCCCGTGTCCGGCTGCGGACAGTGAGCGCAGCAGCAGCCCCCTCGATCCCAGCCGCATCAACGTCAACAACTACGCCAACGCATACCGGACGAAGACCACCGGTTTCTGGGGCTCCCTAAGGAAGTCGTTCAACCAGCGCTACGCAGCGGCGTATTCAGACACTCCGTACGGGGGTGTCACCACTTGAGGTGGCCTCGTGTGACGATTCGTGGGTAGGTGCTGCCGACCGACGGGTAGCGTGAATGTGACGAGAATATCAAACGCCAGGGACCAGTGTAGTGGTCGTAGCATGAAGGCTGCCGACTACCGAGTGATAACAATAAAGGACTGTGGCATTGACTGAGATGCGCTTAGACAGAGCTGAGCTAAGGTGCACCTTATGAGTAGTACTAGAACCTGCATTTTATTGTTGCACCGGGAATGAAGCTTCTTTACTTTTAGCATTGACGATGGTTCACCTGGCAGATAGTGATAGTTAGCCTTTACATTGCATGTCAGTGTGCTTCAAAACGGACGAAAGCTGCCAGCCTTGTTGCGGATCCGAAGCCTGAGAGATGGCGTCGGTGCCCGATGGTTCATACCAACTATTAGACCCTGGACCCGTGCTGAAGGCGCGGTCCCTTCCGATGCCGTCGCGCTGTCGTGCGTACTACGTACGTCTCTTCCCGTCTGTGTGATACACCCTGCCACTCTCTCAGTACTGAGCGTGATACACCCACCCTATCGGTACCAAGCGTGATACAGTGTACACTCTGCCACCCTCTCAGAACTTAGCACTCTTCAATTGACTTGTGTAATCCGCTGAATGTTTGGTGCTTGTGTAAAGTGAATATTTATTAATGAGAGACTTGTCAATAAACTGGAGCAGGTATGTACAGTTTGCGCGATGCGCAAAATTGTCAAGTATCTTCATTTGAGAGAGGTGTTTTTGCTTGAAGCAACTTGTCATTATTGTTACGTATGCAGGTCATTCAGAAGGTCACTAACCCGGTCGGGCCCGAGGGTTAACCCTCGCCGGCATAGGCCATTTTGCGTCCTTCGACGGCACAAGGGGGGTGGGGTGGTACCCGACCCCCCCCTCGCGTTTGGCCCCTGATCGAGCTAGAGCTTCGCAGAAAAACGAGCGTGCTGCCCGTCATGAGAGGAAGCCGATGATACTCAATCTTAACCCGCGCCCCAGTGGTGGTCTCAGCCAACTTCGCCCTAGTGGGGGGGGGGGGGGGAGCATATGTTACCACCCACCTCTAACTCAAAAACTAAGAGGGCTAGAAAGACGCGGTAAATGAAGTCGATAGCTCTCAATGCGTACGTTTGAAAGTATTCCCGTCATTTTTCATCTTAGAGCAATATTGGGGTCACTGGAGGTCATCAAAGGTCAAAATTTGCCAATGTCATTATAATTTTCAGAAAACATGCATTTATCTCGGGAACTATGATAGCTAGAAAAACACATGGAAAAGCAATCGATAGCTTTTGAACTCTTCTTTTGATAAGATTATCATCAGAATTGACCTCAGGTCAACGGTTTAGCCTCCAGAGGGCAAAAACTCCAAAAATAGCTGTTTTTACGAAGTGTTTTTCGACAATAACTTTTGACTTAAAAGAGCCAAGACATTTCTATTGCCATAATCGTGTTCCTCTCGCCGAGACGCGTCGAATGAACTATAATTTGACCTTGAAAGGTCAACTTGAAAATTTGACCTCAGGTCAAGGTCATGACCTGATCGGAAAAGGTCATGTTGCATATCATTCGATGCGTCCCAAGAAGACAAACACAATAAGGTCATCCCCAGCGTCCTATCTCTTTCCAATCGAGAGTTATTGGTAAAAATATGTTTGTAGCCTCAAATGACCTCGGATGACCTTTCTAGAGGCTATCAGGAAAAAAAGACACATTGGTCGTCACGGGTGGTCCAAATGATTGTGATTCTGAAATATTTGGACTGTTCCTATGCGTACACACGGGTCTAGAGGCATTTTCATTTTCTCTATTGACTTATAATGGTAAGGTCACGGAACTGGCCTGACCTTAGGTCACGGATATAAAAAATCCGAGATAGGTATACAAATTATAGGCGCCCATAACATCATGCAATTCACCAAGTTTAAAACCTTTCTGACAAACACTGCAGGCTGGACATGATTGCAAACTGTTTTAGGCTTGGTCAGTTAACTTGATCTGGTGACCTGACCTGACATGACCTGGGGTTAAAAATTTCACACATTGTCCAAAATTGATGTACAGCCCAACGCTAAAGTAATGTAGGGTTTTACCAATCTCAACGGTTGGCTTTGACTGGCGATTGTTTAATGCGGAGTGATCGAAAAGAAGATGTCAATAGCTAAAGTTGCAGCTGCAAGGGTGACGATACATATAAGCTACATTCAAAGTTTCATTGTAGTCTGGTTAATCGTTCATAAGCTTCAGAAGCAGAACATACCCATGACTGAAACCCCACATTACTTCTGCTGTGGACTGTACAAAAAGCTACTCCAAGCGGCGCGGCGCGTTTTTTATTCACACACAAAAAACGCGACAGGGTGGTAACATATGACCCCCCCCCCCACTGGGGTGAAGGTTAAACCGGCGGCGCTTGCGAAATAACGGGGGGGGGGGGGGTCGTACAGCTCAGCACGGTGCGGGATAATGGACTAGAGAATAGAGATCACTGTAAACAACAGGCTGCAGCGTCCTGGCAATATCGCCGCTATAGCCTGGGGCCTCAGACCCGAGTTGTATATTTATAACTGGCCGCCGTTTGTGAGGCGCATGCGCACGGGGTGTCCGATCAGTGGTCCGGAACGGGCGAGAGACCATGAGCCCAGAAGGCACAACGCGACGGCCGACTCATAGACAGCACTGGCACACGACGTCGACAGCTTCGCTGCAAGGAAGGTGGGTGAAGCCTGCGGGTAAAAATCATTTTCACCTATCACTTCACGGCAGCACCTACCTATCCTAAGTCCATATTGACATCTTCCTTAGTGGGCGGTTAGAGGTACATGCGCATGCTGCTGAGCATGCCTCCTTACTCACCGCTCCCGCCCGGGTGGAAGTCTCTGTCACCTTCGCCATGATGCGGGAAGGGACGTTTTCGGCCACACCCGATAATTTATAAAAAAGGTAGTAAGGTGTCAAAAACAATCGTTAGGACTAAACGAGTAACTTCTTTCAAACTTAAGCGATTATTTTTCGCTCAGGGGGCCCGTCACTGGCAAGGTGAGGCACGAGGTCTCCGTACTATCGCCAATTTCGCCCCTTGCGTGCTGGCTGGCTGAGAGTCTAAATTCGCTAGTGTATTTCATCAAGTGAGGTCCCTCTAGTCATCAACTTTTTTAATAGAAATAAATTTATATCAGTTTTAATCATTTGACATCAGAAAAAATATCCAATCAAACCCAATACTATTTTCAATTTTTACTACATTACCACTAGGTATTCCAATTTCCAGGTGTTCTTCAAGAAGGTGCAGGATGCCCGGGAGCTCAACGTCAAACGCCAAAAAGGTAAGTATGTTTTAATTCGCATCCTATTGGGGTCATTGTTTTATGGCCGAAATGGACCATAAAACATGTGTCACGTGACCCATGCATGATATAAAGTTTATGTGACCTAGGCTGACTTAGCCTTGATCTGAAAAATTCGAAGTACAAGTTTGGTACCCCCAGGGCATTTTAGGCATACCTATATTTAGGAATGTGTAAACCAAAAATGAGCTTGATGAGACTGGTAAGCACTGCAGGCGTCCAGAGCTCAAACTGTGAAAAAGCCGAAATTTTGATAATTTTTGCTTTGACCGTGACGGCACCGGTGACCTCGAGATCAATAAAATTAGGTTTCGTCAGACAATTTTCAAGGGTTATGTTACACCGTAGATTTAGAAATTCTGACAATCGGCACAACAGTTTTCCCTGACACAAGAGTTCCCTGACAATTTGGCAAAAGCTGCCTGAGATAAGCATAGAAAGGGGTTCTGTAGAGCCCTCCCCCCTCCTCTCCCCAGTCAACCGTGTTTGGAAAATATCCCTGTCATGCGCGCGGGTTAATGAGACAACGCTTGCGGCAGAACTTTTTTTACACTTTTTAAACCGTCGTCGATCAGGGTCTTCTGGAGCGTCTTCAGGATGGCGTGGTGATCGGCGACGGAGGCATGATGTCGGAAATGTGCAGACGAGGATACGCGATTACCGGCATATGGACGCCCGAGGTGTGTGTCCAGCACCCGTCAGCAGGTGGGTCCACTGCACGGTGACCTGGCCCCGTCCGTTAGGCAACAATCCGGCGACTGCCGCTGTCTGTACTGGGTTATTCGGTGTGACTACCGTTAACACTGAAAGGTACTTGGTTACTCGGTGTGAGCGCCGCGGACACTACTCGCCACTCGGTTACTCTGTGTGACTACCGTTAACACTGTAAGTTACTTGATTACTCGGTATGACTACCACTACCACTAACACTGTACTGGGTCGCAGTGCGAGAGCTGCACCGGGAGTTTGCCAGGGCAGGCGCCGGCGTGCTTCAGGCGCTCAACTTCTACTCCAACGACCAGAAGATGAAAGAGCGCGGCCTCGACTGCACCGTGGAGGAGATCAACCGCGCGGCGTGCAGGTACCTACAGCTGCATGTGTACCTGTGTATATTCCTTCATTGCCAGATCCGGGATGGAGATACCTATCAGATGCTACTCACGTTGAATCTCCCCCCACGCAAAAGGCATCGGATCGCATCCTCATCTGTCTGTTGGCCTGTCTGGTCTGTCTGTTTTGTCTGCCTGAGTCCAGTGCGTCTGTCTGACACCAGTCCGCCGTCGGAAGTCCGTCTGTGAGATCAGTTCGCCGCCGGCAGTTCGTCTGTATGATGTCAGTCCGTCTGTCCGACCTCAGTTCGTCTGTCTGACATCAGTCTATCAGTTTAACATCAGTCCGTCTGTCTGAGATCAGTCCGTCTGTCCGACATCAGCAGTCTATTAGTCTGAGATCAGTCCGTCTGTCTGAGATCAGTCTATCAGTCTGACATCAGTCAGTCCGTCTGCCTTAGATCAGTTCGTCTGTCTGACATCAGTACCTACGTCTGTCCGAGATCAGTCTATCAGTCTGAGGTCAGTCGGCCGTCGGCAGGCTGGCTCGGGAGGTGGCGGAGGAGGGCGACCAGCTCATCTCGGCCTCCCTGACAGCCACACCCGTGTT